CGCACAAACAAAGCCCGCGTAGGGCGAAGAAAGAAGATATTTTTGCGGTGAAAACGGCCGTCTCACCCATGGAAATAAAGCCCGCGTAGGGCGAAGAGAAGAGACACAGACGCGGGTCGAAGACGGCCGACATCACCGCACAAACAAAGCCCGCGTAGGGCGAAGAAAAAAGATATATTTTTCGGTGAAAACGACCGTCTGACCCGTGAAAATAAAGCCCGCGTAGGGCGAAGAGAAGGGACACAGATGCGGGTGGAAGACGGCCGACATCACCGCACAAACAATGCCCGCATAGGGCGAAGAAACAAGGTGCAATTTCGGGCGAAGTCGGCCGTCTTTTACGTAAAAGTAAAGCTTGTTTAGTAAGCTGGGTCATTTATATAGGCGAACTAAGCGCTGGCCCAGGGCGTCTGAATTTGTAGTTTGGCATGGCGAAAGTACATGTTTAAATTATAATAAATAATGAAAAAATAAATGTTTTTTTGTCAGAATTTTTTCTTACGTGTTGATTCACGAGTTGTCATTTTGAATGTATCGCCATATTCTTACGATCGGCATAATGCGTGCTGCATTTTGAATAAAAATTAGATACAGTACTTAATTTTGCATTGGTGTTTTATATTGTTGCGAATTTTTTTTAATGGTACGACATTAAAATAATTTTTCAAGGGCGCTGATTGTGCTCGGGCCGGCAGTGACTATAGCCAATGTAGGGGTTGTGAAAATATAGTTAATTGGGCTTTAATTTTCAAATTTCACGTTTATACATTTATACTGTTGTCTGTCTGTTTGCCGGCAAGAATTGATATGTTTAGAATTTTTATAAAATAGTTCTATAACAACCGGGAAATAATAATAATAATGTACTATAATATAAATTATTATTATATACATTTAGATTACTTTTAATAAAATTAAGTTTGCGTTAAATGCCGAATATATGTCAAACGTGTGCAGCTGATGTTCTCCTATATAAAAGAATTAACTTTAAGACGGAATTGTACTTATTTGTTTTTGTACGGAGGATTTTCAAAACGTGTTAGAGCGAAACCGAAAGTCGTGCTGTAAGGAGTGAAATTAAAGAAAAACAATCAAATTCAGAATACTCAAACACCGTATTAAAAAAGAATTAATTACAATTATAATTATTGTCTATTTTATTTAACTTAAAAAATAAAACTATGTTAATTTTTTTTAGAAACTTTGTTTATTAGCTGATAAAAATCTTACAAACTTGAAAAATATCAATATTTTAAACATTATTCGTGTCAATCTGCTTTTCTGCTGCGATTAAAATATAAAATAATTGAATACCTAACCAAGAATGTGGAAACTTTATTAATAATTTATGCAACGAACATTTTACATTTCAGAAGAAATTAATAAAGCAATTTCAAAAATGAATAAAAAGAAATTAAATGTAATCATATCAATACCACCAAATAAATTTTAAATAATATATAATATATTTCAAAATAAATCGAATTTATCCATGCATTTGAACATAAGTATCTTGGCGAACGTAACCTGGAGCTTCAGAAATTACTGTTGTTTTAGTCATTTCGGGTGTTCTTTCTTGCACTATGGTTTTACTTTCCATTCCCATACCATTCATTCTCATTGGAGATGTATCTGCACCCATTACTGCCATATTTGGATAGCCACTTGCACTCGGTATGGCCATATTTGGATAGCCACTTGCACTCGGTATGGCCATATTTGGATAGCCACTTGCACTCGGTATGGCCATATTTGGATAGCCACTTGCACTAGGTATGGCCATATTTGGATAGCCACTTGTACCCGGTATGGCCATATTTGGATAGGCACTTGCACTAGGTATGGCCATATTTGGATAACCACTTGTACCCGGTATGGCCATAATTGGATAGCCACTTGCACCCATTACTCCTACGTTCGAAAGTCCTGTATTTGAAAATCGGTTACGTCTCATTTTCTTATTTAAAAATCTGTTACCTCTTAAACCTATGTTTGAAAATCCGATATTTCCCATTCCGCTCGGATCATCCATAACAGAACTAGATGTAAGTTTACTTCCTGTACCCGTATAAGAAGCATCTTCAAGCCTAGGTATACCTTCAGTAATGCCGGCAATGACAGTAAAAATCAGCAAAACGATTTTCAAAGTCATTCTCTATTGTTTTCCTTCTGAATTTTAACTTGGCAGCTTACTCTTTGCATTTTATATACTGTAAGAACAGCTTTGTACACTTCCTTATTTATTTATATCAAATCTTTTTTTCATTTTTGAGGAAAAATTTAATTTAAAATATACTACGTTATATAAAGAGGGCCTTTTTCCATATTCATTGAAGGTTCGGCCAGGTCCACAATGGGAGTGGCCAGGTGGTGAGTTAGGGGGCTTGAAAAATTTCCGGGAATGTAAAAAAATATGCTTTAAATCTCTTTAAAAGCTCAATTTTCTACTGAATTTAAATATAATTAGATAAAATTAATTAATTTTATAATTAAATTTTATAAATGAGGCCATTTGACAATTTATTAAAGTTATTAAAATAAATAGACAAAGTAATTAAATTAAATATAGTAATTAATATTAACTGTTTGCAGAATAAATTTGAGTTTAAATAGAAGAAAGATATAAACGTTTCTGCTTATTACTTAGGGAATAGCTAAGTACAAAGTGAGTCAATTATCAGTTAACATGCATAATACAACCCTTTCAATGAAACGAATGAATCACCAATAGCATGAAAAAATAGCCGTTTAAGGCTTTTTTTTTTCATGCTATTGGTTTTAAAGGCTCTTAAAATAACCATAAATATATATATTGGTTAATAGACTCTGTTAATAAATACCAATCGAACTAATTTGAAGAAAAAAAAACAAATAGCTTAATATAATATAAATAAATAAATCTTTATAAATCTGTTTTTGTTCGCTTAAAATAAGATTCTATATTCAGATTTTCCACTGAAACTTAAACTTAATTATAATTGTATTTTTTCAATAGTTTATAAGGATTTAATGATATTAATATTCATCATAAAAAGCTATAAATTGATTTTTTTTCTATAACTTAATCATTATTTAAGTTACAATTATGTTGTAGAAAAAATAACAATTTAAAACATTTATTTAAAACTGATTTAATGTTAACTTACAGTTTCTAGACATTTAAATAAAATCAAACATTATTTCTTCACAATTAAATTAATTTGAATGGCTGTCCGGATGATAATGGACGGGGTAGTAATTTATAGGGTCGAACTCACAATAGGTATGAAAAGAAGGCCCTCTTGGTGCACACAATGGTAAAAGAAAGTATTTTAAAATGTTTAAAAAAAAGCATAAAGTATTTCAAATTACTAAAAAAAAAAAAACATTTAAATTAATAGTCGTTAATATAAAGTAAAACGATTTATAAAAATGATTATAATTATTGATTTTTAAACATTTCTTTTAATAAAAGTTCAAAATAAAATAGAGTAGAAATATTTGAAACGTTGTTTCGACACAATTTATTCAGCTGGAATTCAGTTCTACGTAATTCAACGTTTAAATTTTACTTCCTCCTAAACGCGACACGTGCAAAACAATTGCCTGAAAATAAAATTAAAGAATTTGTTATGAAAGTAATATATAAAAACTGATAATTATTTTTCATTCAAATTGAAATTTACAGATTTATTTGTTTGTAAGTTATAAGGCAAATGGACGACGAGGGTGGACTATGTATTTAAGTGTTACTAACTTAACGTGAAGAAATCCCGGAAAACTCCACGTGGCCAACCCACTGGCCAGGCACCAACTAACTGCCAGTGTTCTATGATTTTATCCAATCGGTTGACGAAACTTACAGAAAATTTACATATATAATAAGTAATATTAATGTAAATAAAAGGAGGAAAGGTTTCAATATTGATGTTTCAGTTGAGTATGATATTTTCAATGTGAAAAGAACTTAAATTAAATTATTGAATTTTAGAATGGAAATTTATTCGATAATCGATATTTGTTTTTTATTTACCGTATAAATTTGTTAATTATATTACCAGGGGATGTCGGATTAACAAACTTTTACTCTACTATGTTTTGAGATATTTATGCCTTCGTTTAAGTCATTAGCGTAGATAATTTATAATTTATTACATTTAAATTAATATAAATTTTGCATTAAATAAGCTTTTTCTATCAAGAAAATTTTATTAGTTTATAATTAACATAGAAGACTGAATAAAAATAATTTATTTAGTCTTCTATTTATGCATTTTATTTTAGGGATGTGGTCCCACTCCTGCCATCCTCTCCATCCCGATAAACTTAAATAAATGTAGAATTTAATCAGGATGAGTGTGTGTAAATACACTGTAATGATGTATATGATAGGAATAAGGACACACTCATCATTTCCCACTTTTAGCACAAACCGAATTTTTTTTAGTCTTTCGCCCTTTGGACATTATAAAGGCCTTTTTATTAAGCCCGTCGTGGTCGGGCCCATAGTGATGAGAGTATATGGTGTTGGACACATCAGGGAAGAGTCACTCTAATAAAATCCCGGAAGTGACTGACTGCCTGGATTCAATCCCAACGTCTTAACTGCCACGTCTATCGGACCGTCAAATTAGAATAGGTGTTGCGAGCTCTCTATGAAAAGAACTGTTGGACAAATCTCAACTAAATTTGGTAAACATACTGTTCTGAGTATTCGATTTACAGAGGAAATTCACGCACAAAGACAAAGAAAAATGGATTCTAAAGAAGTTTCCTCTCAGATTTATCATACGCATTCCTTTCTTGCATATATTTTGACAATCGTTTCGAATGTAGGTCTTCTTAGAGTGTAATAATAATAATATTACGCATTGGAACAGTTCCAAAAATTACATACATACAGTATTAAAAAAGATAAAACATACGGAATGTGTATTCGAAAGCCATAATCACAATCGAATAGCATCGCAATAACATTTACGCTTAAGTAAGTGCGGTTACAAAGGTATCGTATGGATATTTAGGCAGATATTTATTAATATTGATATGTTTGAGAATTAATCTTCTGAGTAATTCTTGAACTCGGGTGAGGGTGGGATTCGAAGGACATAACAGTTTACTCGTTAAAAAATCTTTTTTAAGTGATTATAAAAGTGACTGATTATATCTGGAAAATATTGCTAAAATTATATAATCAGTCACTTTTATTAAAACAATTTATATTTTTAATTATTATAAATGGCAAAATCTTTATTTTGAGGAGTAGGCATAGATTTTATAAAAAATTGTAAATGCTAATAACGAGTAAAATCGTTATAATAAACGCCTATTCGAGATATGACACACGATCCTCTTTATCTCGCTATCCTGTCGACCTGTAACCACCAAAATTTGATAGCATTAATCTTCCTAATAAGCAAACCTGTCTGCAAAATTTCAGAAATTTTTGAAAAAAAGCAAAGAAGTTGTTAAACTTCAAAAAGGGCAAACAAATTCATGCTCTTCCCCACACTAACATCCATACATACAGAAAAATCTCGAGAATTTGTTTGCATTTCTCGACGTTTCAAGGTACCCTGAAGTTGTATTGTTTGACCGATGGCCATACTTTCTTCATATAACAGCCGAAAAAGTGAAATTGAGAGAATTGGACTAAAAAAAGATTTTTATCTGAATTACGTAAAACTTTAATGTGGAAGAAAACAAGTTCTTTATTAAGTTTATCAGAAATATTCGATTACCTCACCGGTCGGTCAGTCCGAACCCACGATAGACCCGAGAAAGGGCAGAGATAGTTAAAAAAGAATAAGCATAAAGATGCTTTCATAAAGAGCAGGTTCAGACCTTAAATTCATAAATCACTTTAAGTTATCGGCTGAAATTGTTCAGGATACAATTGATGGAGTAACGTGATTAAAATGTCATCTGTTGTGAATCGACAAATGCAAAATAATAATAATAACGAGCAATTACTTATTGTGACATTGTCAAATGTCGGGCCAAAAGTTTTACTCATTGATGCTATTAAATTTTCGTGGTTGAAGGTCAAAGGGTGGAAAGATAGAGGGATCGTGTATCATACTGAATTTCGAGTGGGGTCGGATTTAATGAAGATTTTACTCATTATTAGCATTTACAATATTTTATAAATCTCATCTCTACCCTCAAAATTAAGGTTTTTTTTAATATAAAAAGTTTTTAAAATATCACAACAGATGACGCCACATCTACTCATTGCTGGATTTTTTTCTAGTGTATTGAAGAATATTCGTGCCAAAGTTAGTACAGATACGTTGAATTGTATACGTACAGAAAGATACAAACACATATGTTTTGACTTTAAATATAGTACGCTATATGTTAAATTCTGTTAGATAATCTATATAAATAAAACGTATACCAATATAGTTAACCAAGAAAACAATACGAAACGTTTCGAAAAATCCGAAACTTTTTAATATTAATTCTTCAAATATAATACTATACTTCAATAGTACAACTTTCTTATAATAAACGCCTGAAGAGTAGCTACTGATTAATTAACATGTGATGTGTCCCCATCTAACGAACAGAGAGAAAAAGAGACGGACAGAAATCCATTACAGTATAATTTATATAATGTAGATTTTAAGATCTTACGTGCGTTTAAACCTTCACCCGAATTAACAGATTTAAAATATGAAGTTTGATTCAAATATGTTCAGGCGTTTTTTCCTCGATGCGGCAACAAACATCCAAACTGACTGACAAACAGAATGATCGTCACAGTTCTATATAAATTTCTATAATTTTTCAATGATTTTACTAATTAATAAAGCTTAGCAGATCGCTCGTGTGTCGTGTTCCATATCCAATTACACCAAACTTAATGTTACAGTGAAGTTTATAATGCGATTATTTTTAGTATAAAGTTGTATTTTATATACATAATTTTAGAAAGAGTTGTAGTAATGATTTAGTTAATAATAAAACAGATTCAGAAGTAGACAAAGGAGGAATTTGTTATGAAACAAAGAATAGAATAAAAACGATAGTCTCGATCAGTAAAATTTTTGAAGAAAAGGTTTAAACAGCTGCTAGAAGTATTTATTCTCTTATTAGAGAATTGTCCTTCACGTGTTAAGAGTTAGAATTAACAAACACGCGAAGGTCTTAAAGGTAATTAATTATATATTTTTTGTAT